ATAATCCGGGCCAACAAGACATCTTAATCATACATACGAATTTACGCTGCGATTAGTGAAAAGAGTTGCGAGTGGCAACAAAATCGGATTCAATGAAAGTGGTTAGTTTCTATAATGTGATAAATCAAATTTTAAATTTTCACTTAAAGAGTTATAATATTTAATACCTAACAGTGTCTTAAATAGGATAATTTGCGCCGACAAAAAAAAAAGAGAGAGAAAGAGAGTTGTGAATAGCTATTAAGAATTGAGTCTAGTAAAAAAAGTTTATACTTGATAAAAAAAAGTTGTAGGTAACTAATAAAAGTTGAGTTTAACAAAAGAAATTAATCCCAATAATGTTTAATAAAATAGAAGTGCCCATGCTAATCCAACATTTGGGCTATGCAACTTATTAAACAGCTAATCAATCAAGTTTACACTTTCGAGTAAGGCCAAAATTTCATGTCCGCCCCACTGCGATTCTGCCTCCTCTACTAATAAGTAAGGTTATCAAATTCATGAGTTTAAACAAACGCGTAATAATAATATAAACTCGTATTATGAACTTGTAAGAATTTACTTTTATTAATAAACTGATATTAAAAGTATATAATCAAATAATTAATATATAAAAAATAAGAATAATTTCATTTAAATATTTTTTAATTTAAATAATTGAAATTATATCTATTAATGTTTATAATTTATTACATTCAACAAATAAATTCCTATAAAATTCATATACAAAGTCACTAAATATAATCAAATTCAAAAATTTAGCATGAGTTTAAGAAAGAATTGACATGATTTTATGAGCTGAAAACGTAAAACCTGTAAACTCGATAAATGAACTCATAAGTTTAACGGAGTTTATAGTTATCACAAGTTTAAAAACAAGTTGACACGATTTTATTAGCTGAAAATATAAAAATGCTAAATTCGAAGAGTTAACTCGTGAATTTAATAACATTGCTAGTAAGTACTAATGGCTAATTAATCGCAGACAGTCAAAGTTAGTCTCAAATAAAAAGAAACCCCATACCGATTTAAAAAGAAAAAAGTTAAAAAAAACAGAGAGAGAAAGAAGATGGAAGAGGAGAAATTGTCTCAATTCCTCAGTCACATTCTTCGCCCTTCAAAGATTCGGTTCCTGAACTTTTGCTCAAAAAAAAAGAAAAGAAAAAAGATTCGGTTCCTGAAACGCTGAACAAACCTCGTGACATCTGTCCCCTTACCATCTTGGCATTTTCTGAAGCCCTTCCCTTGAAAGGATACTCCCTCTCGGTTTCCTCATCTTCTCATTCTCAGGCGTCTTATTCGCCCTTTCCCCGCGCCCCATTTTCTGTACTATCTCATAATTATAAATGTCTTAATCTAATCATATTTGCAAAATTCAATCGGCTTTTATTTATGGCTCTTTTCGGATCGGAACTTGTTTCGTTTTCGTGTTTGGACGAATGCTGCATAGCCTGCATATTCTCCGATTTCATCCAAATGTGTAGGAAGCTTTGCATCACTGTCTCTCATTTGTTTTTTTGTCTTTTCCACTGCTTCGCATTTTGAATTCATTATTCTTTGCTTCAAGTTTGTTCAGATTGAGCAACTGTTATAACTGTGAGATGCGCTGGTTGGCTACTGAATCATTACGAATCATGGAACAAAAGCATTTCGGTGAGGTATCGAAGTCCAAGAAGCTCTGCTAGTCCTCTGCGTCTTCATTCTTCTTTAAATCTTCGTCGCCATCTGAGGAACGCCTGCTAGAAACGTTGCTCCTCATTTCCTCTTCTCGGTTGTCCGATGATTTTTTTTCTTTGTTCTTTTATCGTTGTGCCTCGATATCGTACGCATTCGAAGGAACTCGTACCGCTGCTTGCTAGCAAATTATACTGGACTTTAATGTCTGATGTCCTAAACTTCAGCTTTTTCTGGTTGTACTACGAGCTCTTACAGTAAGTCGCTAACATTGTTAAAAGTGTTATAATGATTGTTTGAAATTCTCAGCTCCTTTTTTTTTTTTTGCAGTCAACAAAATTCGGTTTCCATGTTGTATTGTTATAAAGTCAAGAGCATACTCGTATCCTTGTTTGTATATGGAAAAGATTACGTGGATGGTATGGCCGTTGAGGGAGATGCTTTGTGAGTTTAGAATTTCTCTCTGGTCACTGTTCTCAGTTCTCATTCGTTGTTGTCTGGTGCGATATCATGCCCGAACTAAGTGAAGATTGATTTTTTTGCCTTTTAATGAATCTTCACTTTTCTTCGGTCTAAAAATGGAGTTCACGTAGAATCTGTCCTGCTGGAATTAAAGCTCAGTTTGACGTTTCTAAATGTGTGAACAAGGATTTCAAGAAGGCTAAAATTTACTCAACGCCTTAACGTTTAGACTTGCCTCTGGATTTCTTATTCTCGGCATATCTTTGGTCTTTAACAGGTGAAATAATTCTGTTTATTATTGTTCTGCAGGAATGCGAGCTGTTAAAATGACTTTCTTTCGTTAAATAAGTATAGTAAAATTGGCCGAGTTCTGCCATTCCGTTGAATTGAATATGGTTGTTTCCAGCAATTTTTTTCTGAGTTAGGACGCTATTATTGGAGAGATGATTTCGTATGAGCAAGATCCTGGTGTTGTGCAATGGGGCCTGCAGCTTTATGATGCAGGCCCGCCTACCTGTGGTTATTTTGGAGCTGTTACCCTGGAAAATGTCGGCTGCTATCATGGGCATTATTATAATGAAGACAACTATGAAACTGAATTTAGCAACATAGAAAATGATGAGCTTATGGCACATGCTCTTCAACAACAACTGTGGCCCATTTGGCAGAGTGGCGGAAATCTCTTATAAGCACATTTCATATAAGCCGAGACAAAATTCTTCTCACATACTTATTTCGTATTCCGTAAATCATTATTAAAAAGCTACTTATAAGCTACTTATAAGTTGTTCCAAATAAGTCCTGTCACAACTCGCAGTTGCAGAAGCCCCCACACCTCCCGATCAATGGGAGGAAAATCTACAGCTATCTACTTGCCCACAAGACTGGCGTAGCCATCCTATGGGTAATCATGACCCCGGTATGTTGCATTTTCCTTCTCTTAAGCTGCCAAGTTTTATGCATTACTTTATTGTTTTGTATTTAGTTTACGCAAAATTTGTAGGACAAGAGAGTGACCAAGAAGAGGAGGATGATGGGGGACCTTCTAGCTCATGTTCTAGCTCGGAAAAGAATTCATATTCTGGCAATGAAAGGCTTTATTCATTGGAGGAGATGGATGAATGCGCTGATGAAGAAGTGGGGAAACGAATGAATCAGATGATACCGATTACAGTTAGTTTTGCTTCTCAAGTTCCATTGATGCATTTCTGGGGAAGGCATTGCGCTTTGTTTTTGATTTATGCCTTCATTAGTTAACATCAATTCACATGTCTGAGTGACAAACGATTTGATATGTTTCCATAACTAATGATGTTAATTGCCAAAGCTCTAGTTTTTTTGCGGCTGCATTTAGGTTACCATCGGTCAATTTCATGATGCCGTTTGGATAACATTTTCTATTGTCATTGACTGCTAGACTACAATCTTGATTCTCACTTCTGCTGTTTTGTGTTAATCACCTATTAGAAACTTCTGTCTTGACTGGGGGAAAAAACAAGAAGAGAAGAAAGTGGGTGTTGAATATATGATATGTTTTCCAATTCTTCTATCATTCCCTACATTTGTGATCCTTCATGCAGCATGTTCCTAGAACCAGTGGAGAAATACCTTCAGTTGATGAAGCAACATTAGATCATCAAAGGTTCCTGGATAGGCATTGCTTGCTAGTTTGCATGGTTGATGTTGGTTTCCTTCCACCTTTTTCTTTCTAATTTCTGTTTGGAATTTTCTACATATTTATGATTTTTTCTTGCTGAAATTTGTTATGCTTGATCAAAAATGCTGAGACTGCTTGTCTCATTCATAGATGGCAGATGTACGAGTTGGTTGAGTCTACAGTTGAAGGAGATGGAAACTGCCAGGTTGTTCTTTTCTTTCATAGCATTTCCATATCCTTAAATCATCATGTTTAGCTTCTTATTTCTTCAGAAGTTAGACGCTTTTCAATAATTACATGATCTACGTGCAACTCACAAGAAGACAAAAAGAAAAAATAGTTGTGTTTTATGCTTTGTCTTGTCATGACCATTGAATCAACCATCATGTTAATAGTTCGTGCATAGTGATACATTTACATGCCACTTAGACTTCAAACTTTTATAGTGTGATCTTTGTGCTATGTAGTTCAATTGATGTCACATAAGATCTTTTTCCCTTTACAGTTCCGTGCACTATCAGATCAAATTTACCGAACTTCTGAGCACCATAAAGTTGTGCGAGAACAAATTGTGAATCAGGTTTGCGTCTATTTCGTTAGAAGTTTGCATTATTGTCTATAATAATCGATCGATATGATTTCATGACAATAGTTGCTGTGAAGTTAATCTTGTCTATGCAATTTTAATGGGATATATATTCATGGATCAGTTGAAGTTATATCCAGAAATATATGAGGGATATGTTCCCATGGCTTATGGAGACTATATAGAGAAGATGTCCAAGTACCTCTCTGCTCATCCTTGCTTAGTTTTATCAGTTTCTTTCTTGAAATATTTGTTCTGTACTTTGATTATCTTTCTGATGTGATCAGGAATGGTGAATGGGGAGATCATGTCACTTTGCAGGCTGCAGCCGATACTGTATGCCTCAGCGTCTTGTCTATAAGCCTTTTAGGTTTATGATGCGTGAACTTTATGCATATTTTTTACAACTTTTGGCTCGTTATTTTCTATCATAAATACTATATTAGCATATCCTGTTTAGTGTTAACATAGTTTCATTAGAATTGGAACTGAAACGATCTACAAGGACCACCTTATTTTGCATCATGGTAATTGTTGTCTTCAAATGATCATTGTGTTCTCTAATTCCTTTTAGCATGTGTTGCAATATGGAGTAAAAATATTTGTCACAACATCATTCAAGGACACTTGCTGCATTGAAATTCTTCCCAATTTTGAAAGATCAAAACGAGGTACAGTTAAGCTCCATCTTTAATGAACTTCCAATCACACTTTACTATCTTTGGTGCAATTCACATCGATTAATACTATATATTTATGCTCTTGAAGTAGAAAGCATATTTCTTTGTTGTAATCATTTTCGGTTTCTAGTTGTAACCTGCAATAAAACTTAGACATAGCCCTCCATTCCAAATAAGAATCTTGTGATTACAGGTTGACTAAGCTCTTGCTTTTGACACTGCTAATTAATTCCTTTCTGTTTTCTTTTTCCCCTTTGGAAGTAAAAGAAGTTATTTTGCTTCAAGAATGGTGGCTTTTCTTAGTTCTTTATTATTCTGAGCATTGTGCAGTAATTTGTCTGAGCTTCTGGGCTGAGGTACACTACAATTCGATATACCCTGAAGGAGGTTGGTAAGCATATGTATCCTGTCAACCATTGTTCTGCTACACGCCCTATTAGCTGTTTAAAATGATCAAGTTGTTATCGCCAGATTTAATTCGTGTAACATTGATTTCCCGCCGATGAGAGTTTCTTGTGTGCTTGGGTGTTAAGAGGGAAGACAAATTTGTATCAGCTAAGGACAATATTTTAAACATGAAAATGAATAAGCAAAAATTGGAGGAAAGGAAACACTATGAGAGCCTTGATGATGAATGCCTTATATTAGACAACAAAGGACCAACAAGTGGCTTTCTTCGACAATCTGCAGTTTGGAGAATTGAGGTCACGAAATATATTGTGGGAGTCATACTTTTCCACTTCTCTTTAAGATAATTTCCATCGTACGAAGTCATTGAAAAGTTCTTTTTTTCTTTGCCATAAAATTTCACTTGATATTTGATAGAAAATATGATGACATTCTTACTAGGTTTCTTTAAGAATTGATTTACCAAGATGTTTGTTAGGTTTCACTCTAGGGCCTTATAACCTTCGAGGAATTAATCAAATTATTCTACCCTCAGTCAATGGGAAATTCGCACCAACTTATGTCAGTCTTTTATCTGTGAATTATTTATCCAGTGTTATGGATACACTGTTAAGAGAACCTTTATTTTAGAGTCTATGGCAAATGCTGTTGGGTTTGAGGTGTTGATAACGGACAGAATCTTAGATTATTGCAGGTCCGCATGCTGATATGTCACTTGTTTTCCATTTCTTCCCCCTGCTCGCATTCTTTTGCCTGTTGGCTTACTGAGCAATTGCCCTCGAATTAACTGCAACCAAATGTGCATCCTTTGCGCTTTATGCACTGTGGGGCAATTATATTGACGGTGGCGGGTTTACTGGTTCGCGATCTATCATCTTATTGACTAATTTAATGCGTGGATTGTTTTGATATCTAAACTAGAACATCTTTGAATTACATGCGCAGCGTTGAATCTGGTAGTTTGACGCATCTTGTCCAGTTTTGAATTTGAGATGATGTTGGGTGTGCTCGGGATTAACAGTGGTGGCTCCTGAACTGATTTTTGCTCTGGAAAAAGCTAAACAAAGTAACTCCATGCTTAAAACATATGTTTGGATTGGCTGTAAAAATAAATAGGCTTATGCTTCTCTGTTTCTATTTACAAGTCATTTATAATATGTTTCATATACATTAAGAAAAACCTTAAATTTTATTAACTCATTTAAAATTTAACAAGTTTTCAATCTTATTTTTATTTAGTATACATTATATTTCATGTAAACAAAATCAATACAATAATAAAAGAAAGGTAAAATTGTACATCCATACAAAAAAATTTTCTCAATACCTTATAAATTGGATAAAAAAATGTCCTTTTTTTTTTATCTTGTAAATAGGATCACATGAGTAACTGTTTTTCAAAAGCTCCACCTTATTGCTTTGGGCTTCCACGTTACAGGTTTGAATAAATGCGGCCCACATGAGAATGCTTTATTCGTATATGAGTTCCCCTGTTTTTTTTTTTTAATCCAGCCGCTTGAGTTGGTTTTTAATGTTAAAAAAAAAATCATTTTTTAATAATGAAACCATTTTTCAAAAAGTAAATTTATTATTCTTTATTATTTACTACTCCTCTGGTTTTTAATATAAAAAAACACTATAATCATTTTTCTTAGTATTCTCTCTCCTTCTTCTACTTGATTATAGTTAAGGGAGTATTCATAGGGACAATTTAGAAAAAATTGATAAATATGAGAAATAAGTCTTATATTTAGGACTAAAATTAACTCAATAATTAGATCCTATATTAAGAACTGGAGGAATATCATACTTATAAAATCTATGGATAATTGAGACAAATGTTCTATTAAAAATTTAATTGGTAAGAAGTAATTGATAAATTTTTATATACTAAGTGCAATTATTATACATATAGAATATTTGTATTATGATTTAGATTTTTCTCACTAATTATATTTTTAATAGCATAACTTTTTCTCAATTTTTCCTAAAATTTAAATATATTATTTTAGTTTTAATTATTCTCAAAAATAACTATTTTATTTTCATAATTATAATTTTAATTATTCTCTGACAATTATCACATTATAAATGTATATATAAATATGTACGATTTAATAAAATTCATGTCCTTTTCAGTCATTTTACATCTATTTTTTTATTAATCTTCCAAACAAATTTTAACTTCTCAAACTAATTTTTTTTACAAAAACTAATCCAAACATAAATTACACTACACTACTTGACTTTTATTTATACTTCTCTCACTGTTAATCCAAATGCATTAGTTAGGTGTCACTGCCTTCCCGTGTTCAATTTTATTGCAAGCTTCCCGCCGTCCTCATTTCAAACTCTAGCATGCCTTTGCCCTTAATATATGCCGAGGTACTAGAGGCAGTAATTTAGAGCAGGTGAGCCGTCAATGGATTGTCAATATTTATACACCTTGAGGCGTAAGCCGTTGGTTGAGTAACCGGTACTTGTATTTTGAGTGGACAAATACATAGGATGAACGCAGGTAGCGAGTTAATATTATTGTTGTTAGTGAAGGATTGAAAGGATTGAGTGGAGATATATTTTGTCATATCATTCGCAAATAAAAATTTCTTAATCAATGTTTAAAAGGAATAGCCAGCATCCGTTTGGCTAACTTTTTTCCTTCAACATTCTAATCAAGGGTTTTTGTGATTATAATATTACAACAATTCTTAACGCAGATAAGAATTTTTACTCCGCTATAAAAAAGATTTTTTGTTCCAATTTTTGGTAAGTGCCTATAAGCAATTTCATATAAACTGAAACATAATTCTTATTTCATATTTCATAAATGATGATTGAATAATTATCTTTAAAGGATCTAATCGCAATTTTAAATAAGTCCTTAATTTGTAAATGAAATAATGGAAGTGCAAATGACAGAGCAGCGGAGGCAAAACTACTTTCAGCTCTCTTTAAACAGTTTTTATGTACTCCTTTGGTCCTACTTATATAGTAAAGAAAGAAGACATTTTTTGTTCTATTTATAAGGTATTAAGAGAAATTTTTTATATACATGTATGATCTCACATTTTGTTTATTATTATGTTGACTTTGTTTACATAAAACATAATATATATTAAATATAGGTAAAGTTAAAAGGTTATTAAATTTTAAATAAAAATTAATAAAAATTAATATTTTTATTAATATATGTAAAACATATTCGAGGTGGTTTATAAATACAACTAAAGAAGTACTGGTATTTTTTTGTTTGGCATTCAAGCATCAGAAAAGGGATCTCCTTAGAAAGTGTTGGAGAGCTTTGAAGAGCATTTATAGATTCTTTTAACAGTTTGACGCTTCAATCCACTCTCGATTTGTATGCATCCCGTCCCATGCTTTGAAACAACACAATATATAAAATATAACATGTACAAAAAAATACTTCTCCAGTTTTAAATATAAAATTTATTTTGTAATTACATTATAAAATGATTTTGTATTTAAAATAAAAAAAATATTACTTATAAGTCATAAAGAAACAACTCTTTTAGCAATTTTTAACCGTTTTACGCAGCATGAGAGGAGGGTATCCACACGTACACACGAAATGAAGAAAAGGGATGTCCGCAGTACATTGCACCGGCAATAAAATTGACTGGTGAAAGAAGCTAAAACAAATACCGCTTATTGAAAAAATTAATCAGTACTATTTCTGATATTAATTATAAGATCTTATTTGTAAACTATAAATGAGATTTTATAATTAAGACTGGAGGTAGTATTTAGTAGGGCTGCACATGGACAGGGCTAGGCAGGACAGGACCCTTGCCTGATACCCAACCCAAAGAATGAATGGAGCTGGAAAATGCAGCTCGTTGCCTAGCCCTGCCCATGAAAAGCCCTAATTAGTTTGGGCTAAATAAATGCGGGCTTCTATGTCCAACAAGTCAATATACTATATTAATTAACTAATTATTTATATCCCTCTAAATAATCTAATGTAACTTTTTATTAAAATGGAAACTTGACCTTAATTTTGTTATTACTAATTAATATACTATGAAACTACTTTTTGTAGTAGCTAAGAGGAGTGGACTATGACAAAAAATGTTGTTAGTATATTTTATTAAACTTAATTGTTTTTCTAATTTCTAACTCTCAAAATCATTTAAAAATAAATAAGTATAATGAATACTGAATATTAATATAACAATACGTTTGATTTAGGAAATAAATATGAGGCAAATAAAATATATATAAATAAAATTATATATATTTTTGCGGATAGGGCCAAATGGACAGGGCAGCATACCGCACCCGATGCCCAGTCCAAATATACCCAATAGTTTTTTTAGGCCATTTTTTTAGGACGGGTTAGGTATTTTTTTGCGAGCTTGGACGGGCATAGTGGACAACTGGGCTTTATGAATACCCTTAGTATTTAGCAAAGCAAACTATTTTTTTAATTGTTTTTTTTTGCCATTTATTTTTTTTCCTATTGTTAGTGAAGCCAAAAGAAATAACAAATATAGAAGCAAAACATCTCATCATTTTCAGCAAAAGAATTAGAAGAATCTAATCAGATTTTGGGATAAAGACAGCTATTGGCTGCCCGGCCACTTTTTTCACGAGGGGGATTGGTAAGGCCTCGCCATGTCGACTGTGATGCCACGTGTAAGCACCATGGTACTACAAACCAGACCGATTTGGGTCAGTACTTGGTCCACCGGAACTCAACCTCTTCGTTTTTTCCTTCCCGGTTTTGCTATTTCGTTTGAGATTAGTCAGCAAACAAAGAAACCTATAAGGTTATAACCCTATAGGTCTAGGGTACCAGCAAACAAAGAAACCATAAGTTTATAATATGGGACCTACGTGATAACCCAATAGGACTTAACTTGAACCCTATAATCTTTTCAAAGTATAATTATAACCCGGACCTACATTAAACCCTAACTATCTAGCGGACCAATCCAATCAGGCCTACAATAAACCCTAGACGTCTACAGTAAACCCTAGACGCGTCTAGGGTTTACTGTAGGCCTGATTGGGTTGGTCCGCTAGATAGTTAGGGTTTAATGTAGGTCCGGATTATAATTATACTTTGAAAATGCGTTTAGGGTTTACTGTAGGCCAGATTGGGTTGATCCGCTAGATAGTTAGGGTTTAATGTAGGTCCGGGTTATAATTATACTTTGAAAAGATTACAAGGTAGGTCCCATTGAAAGGGGGTTATCACCTTATAAGTTTATTTGTTTGCTGACTAACCTCCGGAGATGAAAAGATCTACACGTTGCTCTTTACGAAAAAGCAAAACCGCGAAGGAAAAAACGAACAACGAAAAGGTCTACACGTTGGTCGTTCCGGAAATTGCAAGATTTTTGCCCTCTCTTCACCGCTATAAAGGTACCTTCACTCGATCGGCCTCTTCTCCATTCCCCCAAAGCCCAAGCAATCTAGCCTGCAGTGTTGCCTTTCATCCCCGAATCTCTCTTTTCTGCTTCACTTACAGTTTGGGAATGAACTGTCTGTTTTCTATGGCATTTCTTATCTTCTTTGCCTTAACGATCGGTGTTAGAATCAGAGGGGTTTACCCTGGGGGCCCTTGGCAGAGTGCTCATGCTAGCTTCTTCGGTTTCGGTGGAACTGATGCCTCTGGCAATGTGGGTCTGTATCTCCTCTGTCGTCCACGCTTTTTCTTTACTTTGCCTTTCATTTCTGCTTAATCACTGGTGATTATGGGTGTGTTGTTCAGGTGGAGCTTGTGGATGCCGTAACCTCTGCGGCGAAGGGCACGGCGCGAACATGGCGAAGCTGAGCACCTCACTATTCAACTTTGGGCTGAGCTGCGGAGCCTGCTTCGAGATAAAGTGCGCGAATGACCGACAAAGGTGTCACTCGAGAAGCCTATTCATCTTCTTCACAGCCAACTTCCGCTACGCTCTTTCGAACGACGATAGCGGCCAGCCATCCTCGGCTGAAATCGGGGTCAAAACTGGCAGTCAAACGCAGTATTGGTGGGCACAGTCATGGTCGCTTACGGTCACGGGCAATGACGGACGTACATCCACCTCTTCGATCATCATGCACTGGCAATTCAATCAAACTTTCACTGCGAAGCTCTTCCAGGTTTGATCCATACGATGAGGTCGTTGTTTGTGTGCGTATGTGTGTTGTGGGGGGCGAGGGGGTTGTCGATTGCCTTTAGTTTGTTTCGTTGGTTTTCAATAAGGGTGGGGTTGTCTCTTGTACTTCTGTTATGGGGGAAAGGTGTTGGGAAGGCTGAGGTGGCTATATCAGCGGGAGCGCGCAGCTGATTAGGGGCTTTATGTGATGAGGGCATGATCCCTTTAATATATGTAAGCACTTGTGGTTTGTTTCAATCTTACATTTAATTACCTTGTTGCTTCTTGGCCTCTTTTCTGCCATTTATGTTTTTCGATATCTTCTTTTGTCTGGAAGTAAAAATGGCCCGCGAGTCGTATAAAAGTGATACTTATTTACCTTCAATAATTAAATTATTCTGCAGTCCAAGTAGTCAAGGCTCTTCTACGGGACTGATAATTCTCGCTAAAATGAAAGGTAAGCTTGATAATCCGTTGTCGCTTACCCTTCTTTTTGTGAGGAATTTTTTGATACTCTGAGAGTACCAACTCACCTGTACACTGACCGATAAAAGGATCCCATTTGAACAAATTTAAACTTACATAGCAGTTTATTTGGGAATTTTCAGATTTATAATATATTAATAATTTTTTATAGGAAAAATCATAAATAAAGACTGTGAAATTAGAAAAATCACAAATTGGAACCAATAATAATATTAATATAGATTTTAACAATAATAGTGTGAACTGATCTCTGTGTGTAATTTTCTAATTACGCAGTCTTTATTTATAATTTTTTCTTCTTTGAAAAGTTGCCATTTTTTTTTAAAATTTTCTAACTCTGTTATCGATGCATCTCTCGTTTGACCCATTGTCCTTTCTCTCCCTTATCCTGAACATCTCAACATTTCCCATCTTCCTTTCAGATCTATTTTCCTTTCCTCCCTCTCTCTATCCCTTCTAAGCTTCTACTACTAAAGCAAGGTCAGAGACGTTTTAACAACATTAGAGCATTTATGGTAGCAGAAAGTGCTCGCATTCGACCAAGTCGCATCCGTCGTGATTGGCAAGGCCATCAGGAATAGCGCCTCACACACTTTCACAATCATCTTCTTCCTCAAACCCATCTTATTTCTTTTCTCTTTTCTTATGCACAAAGTATCTTCTATATTAAGTGGCTTTCCCCCTTTCAGCGTAACTGCTTGCAAACCGATGAATATTGCAGGAGGGTAGACGAAAGCCAAAGGTCTCAGGCCTTGCTTAATTGGTGGAAGGAATAGAAAGGGAAGGGGAGCGGGAAGGAGAGAGAATAGATCTGGAGGGAAAATAAGAGATGTTGAGATGTTGACGATTTAGGGGGGAAGTTAGGAAAAGATGAATCGAAAAGAGAATTGGAAAATTAAAAAAAAAAAAAAGGCAGCTTTTTAAAGAAAATTTTCAGATATCATAAATATGAAAATTCACACATATTTTAGCTGGAGGCTTTCCAATCTGATATGACATTTGGGTGAAATCATAAAAGTTTAATATAAATTTTGATTCCTTAAATTTGAATTAATTTTAATATTAGTCCCTAGAATTTTAAACATATGATATTAGTCCCTGAAATTTTAGTCATTGCAAAACATTGGTTCTTGACACTTTCACACCATTAATTTCATCTGAGATAGCATTAACACCGTCAACCTGATAAGCTGGATATATAAGTTGGCGCATACAAGGATCTCATCTGAAAAAATAAAAAAAAAAACAAAGAAAAGGATTTAAAAACGCACGGTTGAGACAGGAAAGCAAAGGGGAGGGGCTAAGTGCACGGGGAGAGTCGATGATGGCAGGAAAGGGCGAAGGCAAGAAAGGTCCAGTGAATCAGTGTTCATTATCCTCGCATCTCTTCTGGTACTATCCTGATTCACTCACATTCTCTTCTGGCTTAATAGGTCCATTCAATCCAAGCTGGTTCTATAATTAAGCTTACACACACAAAGACACACAAACCAATATAATGCGCCCCCCTCTCAATCATTCATCCCATTCTATCTTGCATATAAGGTCCCTTCTATGCTTTCTCTCTCACAGCACATGTTGAAATACCAAGATTATCAAACTTTAGATCCACCACAAAAGCAGGAAAGTAAGTGGTTATCAGATTTTAGAACCATAGCAATTATGGATGGATACTTCTCCTCCTCCTCTTTGCTTCCCACTGCACGAAGATGCCTTTTATTTTATTAGCCCTGTTTTTGGTCTCAAAAACAGGGATAAACAAAGATGTAATTTGAGTTATAACTTGGCATTATTTGATGTTGGATACCATAAATTTTAATAATGCCATAGCAACATCATGGTTGGATATGATGAACTTCAGTTGCATATAATAGTAGTTGGATATTGCTGCAGGAGTTTCTCAAGCTACTTTTACTTTAAAATAATCCTAAGGTACTCAACAGTAATTTGTGCCAAATTTTTAGTTTTCTAAATTAGTTTGGTATTTTCTTTTGATGCTTAGCCTATTATAACAAATGACCAATGCCTCATAAACCGAATCAATAGCATCATAGTTGGATACTTAGTAAGCGTCCTTTTCTCTGTTTTTCTTTTTATCGTGTGCGAGTCCCCCCCCTTCTTTCTTTAACTTTATGTCCAGGTCATCAAGTCATGTTTGCCAACTTTTATATCCAGCTCATCAGGTTGACAGTGTTAATGTAATCTCAGATGTTATTAACGGTGTGAAGGTATCAGTAACCAACGTTTTGTAACGGCTAAAATTTCAGGGATGTGTTTGAAATTCTAGGGACTAATACTAAAATTGATTCAAATTTAAAGGATCAAAATTTATATTTACCCAATCATAAAACATAATTGTTGGATTCCATCATTTTTTTTATTTTACTGAAATCTCTCTCTTTCCTGCCATCAATTCTCCCTCCTTCCCAACTCCTCTCCCATCCCCCGCTTCATAGTGCCTCTCTCTCTTTTTTCACCACCAGAATCGAAGTCTCAGCTCCTAACAATGGAATCGAAAATAAACTAATTTCTAATGATTTATTTAAGCAAGCAGCACTAGAGCTTCTCCAAGTATAAGAGCGTTGAGAAGCTAGTTTCAATAAGAAAAGCGTCACTGCCAAGGTAAAGATCGTAGATATCTGTGCAATGGAGGAAGGTGGTGGAATAAACCCGTGTGCTGACATTGATGATGGAGACAAGGATTCAGGAGAGAAGGAGGTTGGGCTTGGGCTGAGGGATCTTGGTGATTATGGAGGTGATGAAACTGGGGAGGTTACAAGCACAGAAGCCGCCTTCAGACATGGTGGCGACATGGTGCTAGACGGTGGCACCAACATGGGTGCAGAGAAAGAGGCTTGGCCTGTAAAAAATGCTACAAGATTCTCTAACTCGGGAAAACACTTCCATTGTTAAAGGTGGCTTTGACTTTAGCAGTTCAGCACCTAGGTACTAGTAACTTCTCACTCCATTGTTAATATCTGACTCCTTATAGCTGACACTGCAATTAAGTTCGATAGTGAAAGAAGACAGAGTTAATACGGAATGAGGGAAGACAGAAATAATATGGAGTGAGAGGGGGATAGAGGCGGGAAAACGGGCCGAGCCCGTCGGGCCGGTCCTTTTAGGCCCTGAAATTATGAGAACCGGACTTGATATTTTTCTCTTAAAATGAAAACTAAACCCTAGAGGGCTGGCCCTGGAGGGCCGAGGGCTTAAAGGGCCAGCCCTGGAGGGCCGCGAGCCGCCCTTTTAAACCCTTTATAATTTTTTTAATTTTTTGTATAATATTAATGTTATTAATTTTTTACATTGTTAATAATATTTCAAATATTTAGTTATTATTATCATTTTAAAATTAAATTTAGTTTTAGAAATAATTTATCCAATTAAATTTTAAAAATGGGTTAATTTGGATTTTAATAATGATTTGATTTATATTATATGCGTTGATATTTTTAAACTATATATATATATTTGATAATAGAATATTTTATACTTATATAACTTGTGATTCTATAATTTGAATTAGAAATTCATGAGTTTCAACAACAGTGTTTCTCACATTAAAGTAAAATAATAGTTAGATTGCAAAATTTAAAAATAAAATTCTTATAAAGAAGAAAAACTTGATATTTTTGTTACGAAAGAAAAGCATATTATGAAGAAAAATAATTAATTATAGTGATGATGAAGTTTCAAAAGATTAATGATAGTGTTTATTTATTGCACAATTGCATTATAGATAAAACTTTTAGATGTTGTTATCTTGTTAATAAATGTTTTAGATGTTCTTAGATGTTGATGAATATTTATATATGATAATATTTTATATTTGTGACTTAATTTTATTCGTATTTATGTCTTTTATTAATAATTTCATTGGTTTATTTTTATATTTTTATAAAAAATATGATAAATATAAAAATAGTATTTTTCTTAAACGGGCCAAAGCCCGCGGGCCGGCCCTGGCCTTGTAGTTTAAGGGCCGGCCTAGCAAATTGGGGTATTTTTAAAATTTCAGTCTTGGAGGGCCGGCCCTTTTAAGCCCGCCAGCCCTGAAGGGCCGGCCCTGATTCCCGGCTCTAGAGGGGGAGGAGTTGGGGGGGAGAATTGATGAAGAGAGTGATTTCAGTAAAATAAAAAAAATGGTGGGACTCAATATGTTTTCTGATATAATGCAAATGCCATATAAGATTGAAACGTCTCCAGCTAAAACCTACTTATTGGACAAAGTACCTAAGAATTCCTGCACCGATTAGATGGAGGGCCAAGGGCCTGTTTGACAATACCGAAATCATAATTTTGGGCTTAAAATCATAGTTTTAAAAAAAGTGAATTCATTCTGCTTCTAGTTTAAATTGAAGGGTACGATTAGAATAGATCTTAAGAGTAATATAATTTTAACACATCTCAATTATTTTTTTATAAACATATTTAATCTTATATTTTATAAATATAAATACACATATTAATTATTTATTAATTACATTATCTTATATATTATTAATTATGTTGGTAAAAAATATATTATTAACAATTTTATTCCTTCAAATTAAAATATATTATAAAATCTATCTTTTATGTAATTATCATATTAACTTATGTTTTTTTTAGTAATTTGCACATATAGAAAGTACTGATAATAAATATCCAAACACTCTTATTTTATCATAATCATTTTTTCACAAAATCCATTCTCTTAAAAATTTATTCTCCAAAAACTAGTCTCCAAACTATAGTTTGGTTTCATCTAAACACTTCCTTAATTCTATACAAAGCAGAAGTGTTACCCCTAGTTCTTCAAAGAATTTATTTATTCATATTTTAAAACTTTTTTCTTAGTCAAAATAGTTCTTGTATTGGATGAAACTCATCAGCGCTTAATAAATTATTAAGAACTAAATTAAAGGAAATTGAAGAATCATATTACATGAAGTGCGAGAGGATGATTCTACGCTGTAACATGTTGTGTGCATCCAATTGGTTACTTTACGTTTTACATAGCAGCGTGATGCACCTTCTTAGGAGTTTAACTAAGCAGAAAGGAAACTTGCTCATATAACAATCAAATCCTTGTTCTATTCTTTATTCATTTCCAAGCTTCATTGACATTTATTTAAGTAAGGAATGCCATCTGAATTCTGAACTCACGTCAACATCAAATCAACATTCAAGGAAAGAATACAGGAATATACATTCAAACTTGGGAGAAGTAAAAGTCGAATGGAATCATGGATGGTTTATGACTTGACAGTGCACTCGAGAGGAAGGCCCTGAGGGAATCGCTTTGTGTCAGTACAATAATTATAGATCATCAGCTTCTTCTTCGCCCACCTGAGCCTTCTCTGATCATTAGCATCAAGCTGCTGAGTTAGCCAGGCATTACCCGAAGAATTTGAACTGCAGGAAGAAACGCCATTAGACCACACACAAGCATCCGCCTTGAAGTTTCTGTAAGAAGCAGTGAAAGGAGCTTTGGACCAATCTGTCTTCACAAGTCCTCCTCTGGTAGCCCAATCATCTGCATTCCACAGACTCGAATACAATCTCATAGCCTGGTTCTTTGGATATGGCACACCCACACCTTCCATGTTCTTGAACTCCCTTATTGGCCTCCCATCAACATAGAATCTGAAATATCAAAAAAGAAAACAAAAGATCATTCAACTGATCGGTTTTAATACTATAAGGGTGATTATCAATAGAGAAATGTGTACGTATACTTACACGACATGTTGAGGATTCCAAAGAATGGAGTATGTGTGAAAATTTGCAGTTGGGTCGAACCAGAGATAGAACTGTTGCTCTCTGTCACCTTTGCCCTGGGTATACACATTCGTATGAACTATATAAGGATCACCACTTAAGTTCCCCAAGAACTCGAAGTCTATTTCATCCCAAGATGATCCTTCAGAGCGTAACTGCGCAGAAAAACACGTATCAGAGTTAGGCTATAGGACTCCATGGACATGAAATTTTACTGCATAACATTAACAGAGGTTTGATGAACTCACGTAATAAGCTGTGACTGTGCCAGCTGAATTCCCAGGCACGAGCTTGATTTGCATGTCGATTTTGCCATAGAGGAACTGTTTCTTGGACTGAAACCCAGAGCCAGAGGCCTTATCGAGAGACAGAGTAAGAACTTGGCCATTGTTAAGGATCTTACCTCTGCCATCTCCCCATGTTATGTCAACATCCTGATAAAAGTTCCCGGCAGAGACAACCTTAGCAGAACCAGACAGCAGCAGAGAATAAACCAGCAAAATCCCAAGCAATAACGAAGGAGGAGGAGAAGAAGCCATTGGATCAAACGAGAAGACTTGCAGAAGCTATTAACGATGATGGTGATAAATGCACGTTTCAGAGGTTCAATTTATAGTGTAGGATCCCTGGGCGGTTGTTACATTGGGAATGTGTCTGAATAATAAGAATAATGAAAAAGTGGGTTGGTGGCGGTGAGATGGGAACCGAACAGCTGGAGAGCAGAAGTCAATAAACAAACAAAGGATTGGCTTGTGTTGTTTGAAATCATAATTAAACCAGAAAATAATATGGTCCATTACTTTGTGCTTAGCAATTCCTAAGGCTAAAGGAGGCAAAACATTAGAAATGTGAAGGTGGAGTGGGGAAACCGTAGTGGACTCCTAGGTTTGTATTTGTGGCATAAGCGTGTGGAGCCAGTGGTCTGTGGCTCATCATTATCAAGTTAGTGCTCCAGCTGGGAACATTAAAGAACATTGAACTTGTCTCTATCTGGTATGTTCCTGTGGGCATTCTATATTAGTCCGCGTTTTCTTACTTTCTGAATTCTAGAAACATCTCTATATTATACCGTCCCGTTTTATGGAGTATGTGAAATGTGATACTACATCATTCAGGATCGAAACTTCTGGGTCCATGTGTTTGTTCAAGAAGCACCAACCCCACAAAAAGGAACATAAACGTTTTCTTTGATTAATTGCAGTTCCTGAAAAAACCCAAAGCAGAGACACAGAGGGACGCACCAATAATTCATTTGAGTTTTCGTTGAGTTATTTTGTTCCAGAGAATTATCGTGGGTTCTTATCACTTCTACGTTGGTGAATTCAAATTTGACTGGTTCGGTTCAACTCTGACACCTTGTTTCTGATCTTTTAGAGGCGGAGAACATAGAAAATAAATTAAAAAAGATAGATATAAAGATTGATTGGTTATTACTCCATGGCATAGTAAATTGGGAAGCGGTGACATTCTGTTCAGACTTCAGAGACTTCAGAGCCATATCTCTCAGGGACACGAAAAATTGGTAGTAATCTTTAATGCTTCCATTTTGTTTTGTTTTACTTTCGAACGCAAGGAGCTCGAAAACCACAAGACAGAACAAGAAACAGCAAAGTATTAAAACACGATAAGCAAGAGATGAAGACAAAAGCAAAATTAGGAAGAGAGAAAAAGCAAAGTTTCTTTATGGTAGTGGATGACTTAATTGAACGCTTCTCCCTTATGAGATTTTCTCTTACGCAAAAATTTACCGGAATATGGCATGCCTTCACTTGCTCCCTTTGGCGGGTTTGCCCAATTGTTCAATTGCTGAACCCGTGGATAGGGACAAGTAAAACCGAACAGTAATCGAATCAAATTCAATTTTGATTTTTCGGTTCAATTATTTTGGTTTTTAGTTATATATTCGATTTTTATTTTTTTAAAATTATTCAGTTTCGGTGTTTAGTTCGGTTAGTAGAAAAAAATTTCGGTTATAACCGAAAAACCGAAATAAATATATTATATATTTATATTTAATAAATATTATTATAATAAATATATATGTGGGTTTATGTGAACTTTTTAAATATATTTATATTCAATAAATATTATTATAAGAAATCACGTTGAATGATGAAATATTTATTAATTAATAGTTATAATTGTGTTTTATTATTATTTTTAAATTAAAATCACTTTTTATATTTATATATTTTGGTTAATCGGTTAACCGAACCAAAATATTTCAATTCATTCAGTTTCGATTAATTCGGTTAATCAGTTTCGATTTAGTGTTTAAAATTTTTTCTATTCAATTATTTGGTTAATTTGGTTATCTCTGATAACCGAACCGAAAAACCAAATGCTCACCCCTACTCACGGACGAGGAATCCTCCCTCATGATATTTTAGTGTTGACGGTGTTTATTTGAAAGAGGTCCGATGGACGGAATTATGGGCTTCAATCCATCAATATTGGGCCTGACCTTATCCAAACCTTCTCGGCTGAGCCCAAGTTACATGCGAATCCTGCGATGACTTGCGCATACTAATTTCTCATATCAAGATACTGGAGTAGGAGAAGACTAAAGGGGTGTTTGGATATAACCAAATTATAGTTTGGAAAATAGCTTCTGGAGAATAGATTCTGGAGAGAATAGATTTTTTGAAGAATAAATTTTGTGAAAAAGTGATTCTGAGAAGTGAGAGTGTTTGGATAGTTGTTACCAGAAGAACTTTTTACATGTACAAATTACTAAAAAAGGCATAAGTTAATATGATAATTACAGAAAAATATTTTATGATATATTTTAATTTGAAGGAATAAATTGTTAATAATATATTTTTTATTAACATAATTAATAATACATAAAATAATATAATTAATAAATAATTAATATGTATATATATTTATAAGATATAAGATTAAATATATTTATAAAAAAATATGTTTATAAAAAAAACAAGATATATATCCTATAGGCTCTCACACTCTCTTTTTTTCTTTCTAAAAGCAAAATTTTTTTACTTTTCCCAAAACCATGATCTTGGCTTCTTTAAGGGTGTTTGGGTGATAACCCAAACCATCACCCAAACACCCCCTAAATGAATACCTCTTCTAATGTGGTTTGGGTTATCACCCAAACACCCCCTAAATGAATACCTCTTCTAATGCTTTCATACATTTGGTGCGGAACTTTCCTTAATCATGATATAAGAACCAAAGAGGATAAATTAGCAAAAAGAATATTGAAAGCTCTTCTAAACAGCGTTGAGTGGCACAGTGTTTGTGGCTTAGTGGAAACAGCTGTCATTAGTGGAGAAGCTTTTTTTAGTTCTTTTTGTTTCTTGCGTAAGCTGAATGCTATATTAACAGCAAAGCCATGCAAAGGAAATCAGAAAAGGGCAAAAAAAAACAAGAAAGTTTTCATTAGAGAGGTGAAAAACAGCTGGCATAAATCGAGAAGCTTTCAATGTGTCCATATGTTAGTGGTGAAAAAGCAATCATTGTAAGTTAATATCTTCTTAACAGTAAGGTATTTCATTCAAGAGGCCGAGGTTACTCAAGGACATTGAAATTTTCCTCCATAGAATGGGAAGACTCGGCAAGATAACTAGTCAAAACAAGATCCTCCCTATAAGTATGGACCAAAATAACCTGCCAATTTCCATAAACATAAGTTAATATTTTAAATATATAGATTATATTTTGTTTGATTTTAATCCCTATAATTAAAAATAAATACATGACACATTCTTCCTTATTGTTAATGAAAGACACATTGTGGAAGTTTTGCTTCATTCTTTATATCCTAAGCGTAAGTCTTAATTTTCACTTTTTTTTTTGTTCTTAAATATAAGTTTTAACACCAACTTTTAGGTATAATTAAAACTTGTCTTCCAAAACACCCCTTATTAATACTTATTTATGTGCTATCCAGTTTTTAAATATTGTCATGTTAATAGAGAATAACAATAAAAAAACGCATTTTAACATAATATACAGATTTTGATCCTTAATTTGTGTATTTTTCAATACCGTGACTTTATTTAAGGATGTAGGAAGTGCAAGACATTCTATAAAATTTAGTATGGTATCTATGAATTATTTCAAAAAAAATGCCCGCATACTTAATTTAATTGGTTCATTTAAGTGGTATACTTGACTGCAAATTTTGAAGATAAAAATTAATACTATCTTCGATTCTTATAAATAAGGTCTCATCATTATGAATTTGAATTAAGAAAAAATTGATAAAATTGTCCAATAGGATTGGAGGGAGGGAGCAGGTAAGAATTAATGTTATCCACTTGCAAGTCGGCTCGATCCATATCTTGCGAAATAAGCCAGTTGAGAGCACAACAAACACGTGGCACACTGCCACTTGATCCTTGAAAAGCAATCTTCAACTTTATCCTCCGTGAATAGGTAATTTAAAGGACAATTTAATTAAATATAATAATTATGCATCGTCCATTGAATCCAGCGTTGTTAGTGACTTTGACGTTGAAGCGATCACAAATCCTTGAGAGCTGCCATTGACTGTGTCTCCCCTCCACAGAAACTCCATTGTTTGCTTGCTTGCTTTAGGTGGGAGATGAAACACGACATCCTTATTTTATATTAAAAAATATATATTCAAGTTGATTATTTTCCAACCTGGCAGGACTCGTCCACTAAAATCTTTCTTGTCGTACGTTGTCCCTACTTTCCCATTGATCATCCTCCCTCGTTCTTACCTTGACATAATGAACCCTAAACCACTCCCATTTATTTTCCCAAAACCGTGTGCCTCCTCTTACCCATTCTTCAACCGCCACTCCCTCTTGGCTCCCTTCGGGCTGTAAATGAAAGCACCGTGAGTATGAGCCTAAAATACAACTCAATTCTGAAAGATTGACTTATTAGAAAGGAAGGCTCGTGAACTTAAAAACCCCACTGATAAAGTACTCATAACACCTGTCCCTTAATTCAAAGAAAATAATATGACATGTTTTGTTTAAACTACTAAATTTTTCACTTACTACTCCTCCGGTCCTAATTATAAGACCCAATTGACTTATTTGGGGAGATTAAGAAAGTAAGTTAAGTTGGTTATTTATAATAAATAAGTGTTGTTATTCCTAAAATATCCTTGCTAATTAAGTATATTGGCTAAAACTATCATTATTAGAAGGATTATCTTGGAAAAAAAATGCATAAATATAAGAGAGAAAATGGATTGGGTCTTATAATTAGGACCAAATAAAAAGTCAAATTGAGTCTTATAATAAGGACCGGAGGAGTATATAACTAACGGTTAAACTTTCTTAATTATTCAGGGGGGTTTGAATACTCTTATAATTCGTATTTTCCACACAAGTTAAGGTAAAATTTCTCCCATATACTTACTTATTATATCATAAAATCACTTCTAAAAAGTTATTCTAAACACTCCTTTAATCAAACTCGTTTAACTAATGACTTTTATTGAGGATAACTTTGATATTTTATGACAAATAATTAATTTTAACTAACTTTATTAATTTATATAAAGTTATTATAGGGGTTTATAATACGAAGCAAATGGAGTATTTTCCTA